TAAATATTTTAATTGGAATCAAAACGCGGAACAGATCTTGCTGGGTAATTACAAGATTTTCATTGATAATAATAATAATACTATTATTAATATATAATTACAAGATGTCAAGGCAATACACCATTTAAAAAGAAATATTTTGATATACAATGTTTGATTATTGGAAATTTACAGACGTTGAAGCACGCACGCTACCTTGAACACTTTACAGTCATTCACACATGCTCCTCATGTACATAAGGCTAATCTGACCTGCTTCGCCCTATGGATATGATTATGCAACCAAATTCCAGGGGGGAGGCGCATGGCCCTGGAGTTTACCAAGACTGTATCAATCATCAATGACATTTTCACTAATCTTCCCAGACCAGAGAAGGCGGCACTGACAAAATCTAACGCTACTTTTTGATAACTATTTGTTTTCATCATCTTTGTCATCTTCGATTTTCTATCTCTTCCTTCTTTATTTTGTTAATCCACCACTGGACTGCTTCTATTATTTTCTTTCTAGGATTGGTGAAAGTTTTTTATTGTGGAAGCAAAAACTCTTTTCCTACTCCAAGTAATTGATGAATTTAATGGCCATTTAATTAAAGAAAAAAATTAGAATCCAATCAATCTTTTTATCAAATCACTCTGTAGACTTTCAATTTCTTGGGGATATTTTTTATCACCAGTAAGTTTGTTTTATTTTTGAATTGGCATTTTCTTGGTTCTTTTTTATTAATTATTTGATCAACTTTGATTTATATAATATAGAATTGATTTTTGTAAGTTCTATAATGAAATAAGAAACCAAGCGAGAGTCCCACAAAAAATTTCAGTATTGAAAGCAAGCATTTTTTTAATGTTGTGGATGAAAATATTGATTGTTTTTTTAATTCACAATCTTTTTTAATTCACAATGATTTTATAATCCAAAATATGACTAGCCAACTTTAAATTTTATAGATTCTTGTTGATAAATTAATTAGTTATAAAGCAAAGATTATTTTTATTTATTAGTTTTTTTTTTCTATCGAGTTTATATAATTAAAATATTACATGTGAAAAAGTCATTGTGACATATAAAATAACATGTGGTTCCCCTACCCACTTCTTTCATTTATATTTATAAAAGCGATACCATATCTATCATCTAAAAATATTATTTGTTTCTTGTTAGTAATTTGTTGCTACAAAGGTACAAAGAAATAATAAAGATCATATCTTTACTGTGCATGATAACATGGCAGCTTCCTTGAAACATATGGAAACATCATCATACAAAAGAAAACTATATATATATTTGATTTCTTTCTTGTGTTAATAGTCCTTATGACTGGATTCCTTGCCAAATAGTCATGAATAATAATTTCACTTGTTGGCTATATGTGGTGTAGTAACAATAATTATTGAATTAAAAAGTGTAGAATAATTAATAAAAAAAACCATTGAAATATACCAAAAAGTTTTTCGTCTTTTGCACCATACATACAGTATAAGTTATTTTACTCATAATCTCTGCACATTTTTGCAATAGCAAAAAACAGCTTGGACAGTTTTTTTAATTGATATGTGGAACATCATGTAACAATAATGGTGTGAAGCAAACTGAATGATTTTTACTATAAAATGTTGCAAATACATCCCAATCACTATCAAAATCCTTTCCCTTCTTAAAAGGATCACAAATTAACAATGATCATTGAAGGATTTGTTATTTGATTTTTTTGCTTAAAAGTAAGTGAACTGGTAAGTAATGTTCCAATATAAGGTGGGATTATGATGCTTATTTACCTTGTTTCAATCTTGAATGTGTATAATTCATACATTTTTATATGATAATCATCACAAATTTCTTTCCTAAATAAATTATATGTTACCAATTAATTAGTTATAATGTGTCAGTCTTTTCATCAATAATATAAATTGATTTAGTTAGGATATAATTATCAGGAGAAAAAAAAAATTATACCAATTTTTAAACCCTGAAAAACAAATGTTCACTTTGTCTAGTATTATTGCAGCATGCCTCATTTCATTGCTATACATAGAATAGATACAAAAAAAAGTAAATGAAAATGATATAAGGAAGCTTCCTCAAACTAGTATTTATTACTACTTGTATAATATTTATCTGAACTGATAATTATTTATTTATTCAAGAAACATTTTATCTTCTGCATGTACAAGTTTTGCTAAATTTTTGGGAACAGACTAATAAATAGGTTGATTGTTTAGTAAGGAAGGATGGATAAATGTTGATAATTAATTAATTAATAAATATAATTAGAAAATTCAAATATTTTCTTTAAAAAAAAGAATAAAAAAATTTAATTACTTTTTTCAAGCTAGACATTATTTCAAGGCCTTTATTATAAGTTGGGTGTACTATTTCTAATCAATAAATAATAAGTATAAATCTATTAACTATATTATTATTTTAAATAAAAATAAAGTTTAAGTATAATATTAATTAATATATAATAAATCAATAATTACCAAATAATTCACTTGTTGATTGTAATTGGTTATGAATATTATTAGTATTATTATTAATATTAAAATCAATAGCATCTATTGGATTTGACTGGATTTTTAAGATTTGCTTAACCAAATTATCTGAATTTCCAGGAATATTTTTTCGTCGTTCAACAATGTTTAAAATCTTATTCTCAACTTGTGCTTGAAAACTTTGAACATTCTGGAAGAGATTGTCATTGAATGATTCTGTATCTACAACATTTTATCTTTTTGTTATTTTATTATTAAGAAAACTTATAGTGTAATCACAATTAATTGATAACTAACCTGAATATTCTTGACTTTCAGGATCAAAATCACTTCCATTAATTTGAATGTTGGGTGCAGCATTTGAAAATATATTGCGTATCCACTTTTTTTTTTAAAAAAATATTTAGACAAATAAATAAAATTATGTAATAAATAAACTAAATATAACAATGATGATGCTAATAACACTACACCTCTTCAAGAAGTATAGAAACATTTTTATTTAAATAATCCTTCTCATAATCATTATTGCTATCAATATCAATATGCCTCTTTATATTTTCAAAAACAGAAGTTGTTACATTATGTTTCACGTAATCTATATCTCTTTTACTTTCTATTTGAATTTTTGGTGTTTCTCTTTCCATTTATTTTTGTTTTTTTTTCAATCGCGTGAATAAATTTGTTTTTTATAACTTTCTTTTACTATTGGTCAAGTTTATTTAGATGATGATCATTACCATAGTAGTTAACAAATAAAAAAATACAAAGTAAAATATTACCTATATATACGAAAAATAAAACCATACCATAATCATCATTCTGTTGGTTTTAGCGAATGTCTTCAATTCAGTATTGTATTTAAATTTTCAATATTTTCTTTGTTGAGCCCTCCTTTTTCTTAAGAATTGATTGATATGTAATTGTTTAGAGTAGAGAACTTTACTGGTGAGATTGATTCATGACGTGACATCAGTTTACTATTAAAATTTGGGACGGATTACTTTGTAATTTTCCAAGTGCACTTTTTACATGTAAAAAATTAAATTTGATTTAGGTTAAACATGCAGTAAAAAGCACCTTTTTAGTTAAAACAAGGGCCAAGTTTTTGATAAAATGGCATATTTTGCAAATGTTTAACCATTGTTGATGTCTTTTTGTGAATTCTTTAAGATTTTGAAGATAGAGTGGATGTCATTAATTACCCAGAGGTAAAGGGATTTAGGGTGAAAGAAAAAATTTATTATGACTATTGTGCTTTCCTTCGGGGAATAGATTAGTTTTTATGCCTTGATGGTATAGTAATGTAAATTTCATACTATTAATAATGAAGAATTTGCTTATAACTGTTAAGCGTCTCAGATGTTGTCAAAATGTAGTTCGAATGTTTGCAATAATTTGCTTTAATTTGTTTTTCAATTTTGTGGTCCATATCTCTTTCACTCTTGGTTTTCTTCTTTTTGATGTTATTGGCTTGATCATTTTCAATAAATTTTTATCAAATATAAAAATTCTCTCCCAAAACTGTTTATGTAGTTGCCTTATTTTGTCCAACATTCAAAAAGCAAAATGATTTTTTATTGATCACAGTTCTAGAATTATTGATTCAATTAAATAACAATGTGGAATATTTCTCCATGAAGCTCACTCCCTTCATTATTGCAATGAATATTCTCTTAAAACTTGCAGAATTTTTTAATTAAAAAACCATCAATGAAAAAATTAAATTAGATGAAACAACAACAACAGCAATTACTAATTCATCAAATTTACCGCCATCTACTATTATAAGCAGATAGACGAATTACTAATAATATTATTACCATAAAATATCATTACCACTACCAAAAAACAGGCAAACAAGAAAGACGACAATCAACTGAACAATAATTTTCACCATCAAGAACATATCTAATCTATGTGTCTAGCGTTGAATATAATGCTTTCAGATACTCCATATGTTGTAATAATTAAATTTCGGGGTGGTGTTTGGATATAAAATTCTGATTGGCTAATTTGAATTTCATGCACGTGAATTTCAAATTGACAGATTTCAAATTCACATACAATCTCCATTCCAATTCAAGCGGATTACATCCATGAACCAATTGAATTTTGTATGTTAAACTACAAGGATTTTGTTGATGATATTACATTATTGATGTAATGTTTCTGCGATTTAAATCATCTTGACTATAACGATATAAATCGGGTGACTAGAAAAGGACAGGGTACAGACAAGTAATTGTGGCTAATGCCTGTCCCTGTCCTTTTCTAGTCACCCATGATCAACTGATGTGAAAAAGCCGATCAAATATATTTTTTGCACCTGACAACTTACAACTTACTTATTAACACATTCACACCATCATTCTTTAGAATTATAAATTTTTTTTTTATTATATAGAAAAAAAAAGCCTAATCATATTAAACAAGCTTATAACTGAGAACGCAATGTGAGCTTTTGCTTTTCGTGTTACAAAGCACATACCGTGCTACGCGAGAATAAAAATTCAATTAAGTTGGATTTTGCATCTTCTTCGTCGCAAAGAGCAAAAAAATGACATCATTCAGGCCAAGACAATAGTCTATTTTGTTAAATTCGAAACATATAAATAGGACAGTCGTCCAAACTTTTTTTTTGTTATTTTTTCGTAGAGAAATTCCTCTCGGGCCATTTCAGCGCACGGAACTCAACATTC